CATGTTTGGAAGCGCATCCGCACATTGATTGGTGGCTGCGACAAAAGGGATAGTGCTTCGAGGGAGTCTGTCTCTACCTCAATTCCATTTAACCCCAAATCTTTCTGCAGTTCAATCTCTTTCAAAATGGCCCAAAGCTCCACCATGAGGCTTGTTGTCCGGTTCATTTTCCCATAGAAACCTGAAACACAGCAGCCTTGATCATCTTGTGCAATTCCTCCCATCCCTGCTGAGCCTGGGTTACCCTTCGAGCATCCATCAGTATTGAGTTTGAAGCATCATGCACAGGGAAAAGACCATCCAGTTAGTCTAGGCTCTCTTCTGTCCATCAGTGGCTTATCCAGCTGGAAAGCATTCACTGATTCTCTAGCAAGTGTAGCTGCATTTTTAATAACAATTCCAGCAGCAGATGCCTTATTATCAATGCACTTCTTGTTTCTATCTTTCCAAATACACCACATAACACAAATGAACAGCAATGACCAATCAAGATTACTCCAGGCTACATTCCTTTTTCCTTTTACATTTCTCGTTAACCCAATCATAAAGACTTAGAGTTTGATCAACTCGTCTCTCCTGCTCATCTATCACCAGCCTCAATTCTCATGGCCTTTGGACAGTCCCTAAGGATGTGCAGCGTGGTCTCTGAAGGTGCATTGCACCTTGTGCATGATTCATCCATGACCAAAAACTTTGTAGCCCTAAGATGATTGGATAAAATTCTATCATTCTGCACAAGCCGTAAAAAATATTTTATTTCTGTGGAGCCTTTTCCTTCCATATCCAATCCAGTTTTGGTTAACCTCATATGGGGCTTCATTCCGAATAATAAGATCATAGGTAGATTTAGAAGTGAAAACTCCATTACTTGCAGTATCCCAACACAAGGAATCTTGTTGTGTAGGGGTCGCAGGTAAGGGGGTGAAAAGCAAATCATCAAGGATAGCTTGGGGAAGTATCATACCAGTGCCTTGGAGGTTCCAATTACCTTGTTGAGCAATCAGCTGTGCAACCTTGGTCTCCAAACTTGTTGACTGAGGGACTTGAATTCTTCGCAGTAGAGGGCCATCTCCCATCCACTAGCCTGTCCAAAAAGCAATGTTTTCTCCATTTCCTATAATCCATTTCATCCCTTTATTAATTGTCTCTTAAATTCTAAGAATTGCTCTCCTGGTGGGGGAAGCATTAGACTTTATTTTCCATTCACTGTTAGTCCCATTAGAATATTTGCTTTTTATAATCTCAACCCATAAGGATTTCTGGTCTGTTTTGATTTTCCACCCCAGTTTTTATAGTAGAGCCATATTGTTATGTCTACTTTTCCTTACTCCTTGACCTCCTCTATTTTTGAGTTCGCACACTCTATTCCATTTGACAAGATGAATTCTTTTCTTTTCCTCTGAGTCTCCCTATAGGAAGTCCCTATTTAATTTATCTAGCTTATCACATGTACTTTGTGTTAACCAATTTGATTGCATTACATAATTTGGTAGAGCAGAAGTCACAGATTGGTGAGAGTAGCCTAACCTGTTATTGACAGTGTCTTGATTTTCCATCCACTCAATCTATTTTGGACACTTTCAATAGTATACTTGTAGTGGTTCTTTGATACTTTATTATACAGGATTGGAACACCCAGGTACTTACCCAAGTCATTAGTCGGTGTGAATCCTAGCTTATTACTAATTCCAAGTGCCTGGTGTCTACCAACATTAGGTAAAACAAAAACTCTAGATTTAGTTAGGCTCACCTTTAGACCTGAAATGTTACCAAATTTGTCTAACACTTCATTTAATATCTTAGAGTCTTTAACAGTTGCCCTAGAGAAAAGAATTATATCGTCTGCAAACAGAAGGTGTGTGATTGCAGGGCCATTCCTAGAGGCTTTAAGACCTTTCCATTTTCCCTGGCTAACTCTGATTAATCATTTGTCCTAATCATTGTCCCTTTGGGGGGGGGGGGGGGAAGGTTTAGAAGGATTTTGAACCGCGGTAAGGAGAACTGCTGGGTGAGTGGGGAGACGAGTGGTTAGAGGAGACTGTTGGGTTTGGTTGTGTTTTGTTGCCTGGGATGATGGACATGGTGGTGATCTAGGCACCTTTTCAGAGATCTATATGACTTCTCCACTTTCCTCTATATTATTGACCGTCGGATGAATGTGCCTTTCCAAGATGGGTTCTTTACCCTGAATTTCTGACTTGGGTCTGCCACCCGGTATACATTTTTTGACTTGTTGCCATGTGAATTTCTTTGGCTATTATCCTGTGAGGCTTCTTGAGCCCACCTTCTCTTCTGGTTCATGTTTGGACCATTCCTTCTGTGCTCATTGGGTTGTTGTACACTCTTTCTAGCTGGGTCTTGGGCTTCTCTTGTAGCCTCTTGGATCTGGTTATCATCACCTGCTCCCCTGCTGGGTGTAACCAGACTGTACTCTCTTGGGCTGGGCTGGTTTTCTTCTTCTGGATTGGGCGAGCATCCAAGGCCCAAAGGCTGAATCTTCAGCCTCATCACCTATGGCCTGGGAGTTTGAAGGACCCGGATCCATTGTCTTCTGAGTTTTATCTATCCGTTGCTCTAATATAGCCGTTACCGGCTTCCTCCGGTGGATCCATCTCCTCCGGTGGTCTTGAATGAAGCTTGTGTCTGTTTCTTAGTATGTGGGCAGTACGGCTCCATATTTCCTATTCTCCCACAAGCAAAGCAGAGAGAATGTAGACACTCATTTTCCATTTTAAATAGGCTTTCCCCCAATTTGTAGTGAGAAATCAGTGGCTTAGTGAGATCTCTCTCAACACATACACTTGCAAACTTCCCTCTTTCCGCAAACGCAGTTCTAATATCAACCTTATGGGTTTCCCCAGAGCAGTGGCTATTTTGAAGAGAGTTTTCTCCTCATAATACTCCAAGGGATGTTCTGGGAGTCTAACCCACAGTGCAGTGGAGATCTCTTTCGCTCTTGATAGGATGCGATCAGGTTCCCATTTTCTGACTGTTAGGTAGTGGTTCATAACCACCCGTGGACCTCCAGTTGAGACCTTAAAGCAGTCCTCCTTGAATTGTTACTTACATAGGTAGAACCCATAATCCAAATCAATGGCTTCGAAATCCCCTTGCAAACCCCAAATACTTCTAACTATGTTGCAAAGCATTTTGTATCCAATGTTTTTCCCCAGCAGTTTGACAATCAGGCCATCACTCCATTTGCTTCTTATTCTCTGTAGTGTCCTCTTTGAAAGACTGATTTTTGGGCAAGTCTCATCAGATTTATCAATAGTATAGTCTTTACCTACCCCCAGGTTCCCTTCGTTATTCTCCATCTGTTTGTCTTCTTTTCTGAAGTGTCCTCATAACTTGGTACGTCAAAGTAAATGTCATTTGTTTCATCCATCATTGCTGCTCTGTAGTTTCTGAGCTGGGGTGTATCATCCCCTTTCTTTTCTTGGCCAAGATATGGTATCAGATCCATCTGGGGTAGATCCCCTTTAGAGAGATCCATCATCAGCTGGTCCTCTGTTTGTATCTCACGGCTTCCCTTCACCTTCTTTGTACTTCTTTGAAGGTGACCCTTTTCCTCAGTCGTTTTCTTCGGGTTTTCATGGCCCTCGTCCATCATCAACGCTTAAAATTTGGTAAATCTGCAGAAACTATAATCTCTGGCTGCTCTATTCTCCTGTCGCTTTAATCCATCCATGGTCTTTAATTGATAAGATGACTTACACATTTAGTACCTTCAAAAATTACGCAGAAGTCCATGGAGAAAAATTAGAAAATCAAGTTTTGGGACAACCGGATGAAGCATCGGACAAAGTGTCAGGATGTCGTGTTTGTAGAATTTGAGAAATGTTGCTTTATGAACCGATTATCAGTTCTTTTCCAAACTCACCTATTCAGTCCAACTTGGCTAATAGCGATTTTAACAGTCTTTAGGGTATATTACACATTGTAATTAACAAGTAACCATCTATTTCTATACATTTATATACGCCCATATATAACTAACTATAATTCTCTATCTACATAAAATGAGGTTCACTCAAGGCAAACATAAAAACTGATTTCCACAGAATTGTTTTTCCTCATGTTTAAAGAACATAAAAGATTTTGTCTTCATGGATGAGCCTGAATGAGAGGATGCTCATGATTATAGATGGTTATGAAGCTTCAAACTCTCTTAGACTAAATTCACTGATTATACATGTGTTTTAAGCTTGGAGATCTGTTTTGGTTGCCATACCTCGAGTTGTATCTATCTTCTAAAGCATCATTGAAATTGAATTGTAGAAGTCAGGGTTATGAGTTTGACCTGTACAGACGAAGAGTGGACCAGAAACAATGAAAGCTTGTTGACAGAATTAGTATTGTAATTTTCACTGACATTTTCATTTTTATATCTGTTATGCCATCTTCTCGAAGTAATGATAAAATGTGTTTGCCATTGCGTCTAGAAGACGGCTTGAGAAATATCAACTGTTTGAGTTTTATCCTTTTTCATCTGGATTGTTGCATGGTTATTTCTTTCCATACTCAGATGACTTTTTTTTTATCTCTTTTCTGATTGATGTACTTAGATGACGTATTTACTGGAGTTTTGATAAGTGAAGTTTTAACTTGGTCCTAATTTTTAATGCAGAGGAAGTGCTATTAGAAAATGTAGAGTTGATTCTTGAAGCTTTTGATTATCTCCAGCTGCCGTTTGCTCTAAACAAAGGTGTTTTTTTAGTATTTTTTGTTATCAGTATTTTAATTCTACTGCTGATGCTGCTATGAATTTACACTAATGTTTGAAAGCTATTAACATTGCTGCACTGTTTTCTTGATGTGCGACTACGCTGATCTACACTTACAAAACTTATCACAAGAATGATTGCACGGGGTTTTTCATCTTAATTCCTGTAAAGTTTTGCTATTAAGTACATGAAATTGAATGAGGTCATGTGAAAATTTTGGACCGAGTTGAAGGTTCAAAGTAATACATCTATGAAGGCACGAGATTGAGGCCCATGCCTTATTGGGTCTATGGAGGGTTAGAGGTATGCAACATTACCTTTCATGTGGAGGGTTTGTTTTCGTGCAGTCCCTCCACTGTGGTGATATGTCTAGCTTTTGTACAATATCATGCATTTTATTGTAACCCCAGATCTTGCTTTACACAGGAATTAGTATAATGCAAAATCAACTGGATCGAAATTTAGCTAAGCATCTGCTAATGTCTTTGGCTGAACTATGCATTTTATACATTTTGAATATACCATTGGGATAGGCTGAAAATTATTAATGGATGGTTCAGCAGAAACACATGGCTGGAGGGATTGATCATCTGGGTTGTGATGGGTCCCTCTAACTCGGATGTTTAGGCAAGGAGGCCTTTTTTCATCCCTTCCTGTTCTCTCCTATTGTCATTGTTATGTGGTATTTGGATGAGATGCGTGCTTTCTCTAATCTATTGTTATATTGTGAATTGTTTGATTGGTAGACAATAATCATCTATCTCTTATGCACAAAGCGTAAGATGCATGTATAATTTTGACAATCCCAACATTCCATTTTCCTTTTTGTAGTTGTACCCTTTCATGTGCTTCTGTTAATAAATTTAATTAAGCTTCAATTTGATTAGTCTTAACTATTATGCTTTTTTGATGTACAAGATAGTTATTTGTCAACTTCTAAAATGTGTTAAGCAAAGAGTACCCAGTGGTGTGAAAATGTGTTAGCCTTGTGTGTATTCTTTGGTCATACTCATGACCTAAGGATTGTCAGACACATTGCAAATGGAGTGTCAAATGCATTCTTGGAATTTATATTTTTATCTGTTGATTTTGGAGACAGCCAAATGGGTGTCGGACATGTATGCGAGAAGTGTTAGTGTCCAACACATGTCGACATGGATACATCACCACCTTAGATATGTTTGTGCTTCTTCTATTATATCTAGTGTGCAGATGTGCATGGTCGTGGTTGTAAGCCTAAGGACTATCGTTAGACAGATATCGTTATCTTTTTGTCCAAAACAGTTCTATATTGTAGGACACAAACTCAGTTTATGTATTTTCTCTTACTTATGGCATCAAAATTTGTTGTTTTTTTTCCCCGTAGGCCTTGTTGGGAGGTTAAGTATCAAAATTCCATGGAAAAAGCTTGGGTGGGATCCCATCATAATCATTTTGGAGGATGTATTAATTTGTGCTTGCCAGAGAAATAACCGAGAGGTAATATCTATCTCCCTTACAAATCTTTCAGAACTACACACTTTGCTATTTTTATTCTCATTTTTTTGGTACATCTAGCGCTTTGCTATCCAATAAGGGCAACAAAATTTGAAACAAAATTCTATAGGAGCGGTTATTATTACCAATTTTTTTATTTTGGGAAAAATAGATTTAAGTGCAATCTATATTGTATCTCTTGTGGTAGTGGGGTATGGATGCTGTTGAAAGAAGAGAATTCGCTGGAAAAAAGGCCAAACTTGCTGCAGCGGAGCTGGCGAAGTTATCGAAACGCGTATGTGGTGAGCAACTTGACTGTCACTTTTGTTCAGACTACCTTCTTCTTCTTCTTCTTCTTCTTCTCCTTTTGGGTAATTTTCTTATTAATTCAATTGCTGGTAGTATGGCGAATTAGCTAGAATGACTAGTTCTAATTATTTCATAATTTTCATGGAGAACTAGGGATTTACATCATAACGGAAACATAAATTTAAATCATAACAAAAGCATAAGAGGGGACCTATGCATCAGTTTTATGGCTGAAAGGCGAAGGAACAAAAAATTGAGAGTTTGTTTCTTCTGTCTTGTTAGAGTTCTAATAATGTAATTACCCATATTATTAGTTTATTGTAATTAACAGAGTGTAAAGCAACATAGCCTATACGATAGATTATTCGCTTTTCCTCTTGCCTCTTCTTCTCCTTTTTCATACAAACTCTAATATTGCTTCTATGATTTTAACTTGGTATCAAAGTATTTTTTAGGGTTTAGTAGGATTTTCTTCCTTTTTTTTTGTCTACTTTTTTCCCCTTCTCCTTCCTTTTCTTTGTTGTAAGTTGCAGTCCACTTCATGCTCCGATTACTGTTTAGGACTTTCTTTTTTGGTGTTGGGATGTAATTTTTTATTACTCCTAATCTAGGAAGCACAAATACTCGCCGGGGGGTCACCGTGGCAGTGTTGGATAGGTGTCTGACGCGGATATGCATGGGATACGGCCGGACATGTGTCCGACACTTCTAGAAGTGTCCTCTACATTCGATTTAAATTTTTTCTAACCGGATACGGTTAGGATATGTGAGGGATATGGGAGGACATGGGAGGGAGGGACACGGCGGGGCTCCTTTTATTATTTAACAAATTTAGGGGACTAAAACAAAAAAAAGAAGCAAAAACGACATCGTTTTTTAGGGTTGAAAAATAGAAAATAAAAGGTATGGCCAAAAGTCGAAAGGCCTCAACCTTTCGACTTTTGCACTGTGTTCGTGAGAGAGAGGGCAAGAGAGAGAGAAGAGGAGAACAAGGTCAAGGAGAGGACTGGGGGAGAAAAAGAAGATGGAAGAGGAAGACTAACCGGCGACCAGCGATTTTCGATTTTCAGGTCAGGTTCCCATTCCTCTTGATTGGTTTAGGATTTTAGCGTATAATTGGTTTAGTTTGATTGGGTTAGGGTATTCAAATTTTGGGAGGTTTTTTGTTGTTGTTTTTCTCTGTCTTCCTGCCCTGTTGCTACTTGCTGTCTTTTGAATTTTTTTTTGGTCTGGTGCTGCTAGTTTTCAAATGCCGAATGTTTTGGCTTCTTCTTCTCTTTTTGTTGTGTTGTGCTGCAATGTTTTTTTTTGGTCTTATGTGCTGCTGCTCTTCTGAAATGTTGGACTATGAATGCTAATTCATGTAATTATATTAGAGGATTTTTTTTTTGGTCTTTTGTGCTGCTACTCTTCTGAAATGTTGGACTATGAATGCTAATTCGTGTAACTATATTAGAGGAAATGTTGGATACGACTCCCGTGTCTTTATCCGTACTTTTTAGCTCCCAACAGTTAGTGGTGGTAAGAGGATGAAGTTTTGTGTTGTCGGCAAAGAGAATAGTGTTGTTGCAAATGGCGATGTTTGTTGCTGTGTTGTAATCGAGAATAATGGTAAGACAACGGCTCGTCTCCGCTTTGTTCGACACTGTTGGGCTGAGAATTTGTTGCTTCATTGTTGTTCGCCATTGCGGATCTTTACCGATAAGATCCTGGTTGTTGGGTGCACTTTTTGTCCGCTACTTATTGTTTGATTGGCAACGGGGAAGAAGACCCTTAGTGTTGGCTTTTGTTCGCTGTGACTGGTTTGCCGGAGAAGACGACCCCTTTTGTTTCGGTGGTTTTTTTTGTTGGTCTGCTGCATTATTTTTGGCTTAGATATCTTTGGTTTGTGTGATCCATGTTCAATCCATTCCCTGTTTAATTAGAAGTTTCAGCCCAACCCAATTAAATTTGTTCAGTTCAGTTCAGGTTGACAACTAGAAGGGTCCAATTGTTCAGTCCAAGAACAAATCCAGTTCAGCACACATTCAGACCCGGTTCAGGACCGCCTTATTCCCATTTTGGACCCAGTTCAATATTTTTAGACAGGTTCAGATTTTCTTTCCTATTTCAGTTCGGTTCAGTGATTTTTTGGAGTGGTTCAGTGGGTTTTCTTTTGTATTCAGCTTGGTTCAGTGTTTTTGGTGCAGTTTTAGTCTGGTTCACTTATTTTTTGGATCGGTTCAGTGGAGTTTATTCCTTTTTCTGCCCGGTTCAGTGTATCTTCTACTGGTTCAGCTCACTTTTAGGCCTTGAACAGGCAGTTAATAAGTTGAGTGGGGACAAGTATGATGTTGCAGATCTTGACCCTATACTCCAAAGTCAGGCTTTTGTACTTAAGTGGCCAGAGATAGTTTCCAGCGACGATAGGGTAAGAGCCGCTTCTTTCTTGTGGGGGGACGCTTTTGTAACTAATTTTCATTTCCTTGCCTCAGGCTATTCAACTCATCTTATGCGCTTTTGAAGGAATTCCTGTCAAAGACAGAGAAGAAACTAGCGATGAGTGCTGCCATTGCTTATGGGGTTTATCAATTTGAGCTTCTGTTAAACACCGGAATCATACCAAACCTTTTTTGATCCAGTTCCATTGCCTTTTTTTTTTTCTTGCCACCCGGTTCAACATTTTTTAGTTGGTTCCTCACCCTTTTTTTGATGTTTGTGGTTTTATTCTGTCCATTCACTTTGTGTTGGTTCTTATTCGAGTGATTTGGGTCTTCACGATTGTTGGGTGCCTTTGTTGGTCAGTGTGTAGTATTCGATCAACATTGAGTAACACATTGGTGGTTTTCTCTTGTATGGAGTTGCGTATTATTGCTGTCAGTTTTCTTTTCTCATGGCCACTCAAGTTGATATCATGAGAGTAATTGTGGTGTTTATGGTAATGATCATAGTGGTGTTTGTGGTGGTGGTGGTCACGGTGCTGGATATGGTGGTGGTTCTGGTCTTGGTAATTGTTTTGAGTGAAAGTTTATTTATTGCGGTTGTACAAGACATAATGAGAATTATTGTTAGAATACATATGAGAGATCAACATATGCTAATCACCCTGCTAATTATCCTTCTGGTTCTTTAGTACATCAGACTTCGACTAATGGTTTAATTATGTGTACTACTAGTTCTCACGAGTCAATATGATCTTTCATCGCAGTTTAGTCAGCTCAGCCAATAGTTATTTTACTTTGTCATCATTTATCTCTTGCTATTACCGGTCTTACTAATGGAGGTAATTCTGCATGTGTGGTTGCTCAACCCCCTTCGTCATCTTAGAGTATTGATTTAGGAGCTAGTGTTCATATGTTTGTAGTTATTCCTTATTCTTTAATTTTTGTTCTTCTAACTCATGTATTGTGTTAGCGGATGGTTTTTTTCAATCGGTATATGGGACTAACGATTTTCGTCTTACTCAGTCTATGCCAACAATTTATAGTTTGTTTGTTTCTAATTTTTCCTTTAACTTGTTATCAGGGAGTTAGTTAACTGCGTTCTTACATTGTTCAGGAACTTTTTTTCCATCTTTTTGTGTTCGGTAGGATCTCAAGACGAAAAAGTTGATTGGTTTGGAGAATGAGAGCAATGACTCTTCCTACCTTGAGTGCTACCATGTCTCCTCTTTAGTAGCATTTTCGATTGGGTCATTCCTTCATGTAAAAGTTGCTTCAAGTTATTCCTGATTTGAGTTCTTCTGTGTTGCAATGTAAGGTTTTGTTAATTGGGCAAGCATCAGCGGTAGTTCTTTACCTCTTAGTTCTTCAAGTTGTTAGTGTAGTCAGTTTTATGTTGTTCATACAAATATTTGGGGTCCTGTAAGAGTTGAAGTATTTCTGGTTTTTACTATTTTGTAATATTTGTTGATGATTTCTCCCGTATGACTTAGCTATTTCTTATGAAAGATCGATCTGAATTGCTTAAGTTATATACCACTTTTTATAATAAAATGTTGGTCAGGTTGATATACATATTAAAGTTCTTTGGTTTGATAATGTCTTTGAGTATACTCGATCATTTATGAAAATCTTTTATACTGATTGTGACACTATCCATCCAACTATCCGTCCTCATACCTCCCAACAAAATGGCGTTGCCAAACGTCAACGTCGCCATTTGTTAGATGTTGTCCGTACCTTGATGTTTAGCATGCATATACCAAAACTATATTAGGTTGATGTTCTTACTTCAGTTTATCTTATTAATCACATGTTGTCCCCTATTTTGTATAACAAATCCCTTTCTCGTTGCTTTATCATGATAAGTTGTCATTTGGTCTTATTCCTCGTGATTTTGGTTGTGTTGCATTTGTTCATTTTATTGGTCCGGGTCGGGATAAACTTTCACCTCGCTCACTTAATTTTGTCCTTTTGGGATATTCTCGTTCTTAGAATGATTATCGTTGTTATGATTCTATTTCTTATCGATACTGTGCCAGTGTTAATGTTACATCTTTTGAGTCATCTTCCTTTTTTTCTGCATTAGGAAATACACTTTTTTTAGATTTAGTCTATCCGAAGAAAGTGTGACCTATTGTACTACACTGTATATCTTTATCCTTCTTGATTACTATTCCTCCCTTGCTGGTTTATCATCATTCTAAGGATAGACATGTTGTTCCATATACTCCAGCTCTATAGCCATCGCCTAATTAAGTAGTTCATCCTCTTTTGATTGCCTATTGCATTGAAGAAATGTACTTGAAACTATACAAAACATCCCATTTCTAATTTTATTTTTTAACATCGACTTTTATCATTCTTTCATTGTTTTTCATCGACTCTGTCTTCTATATCTATTCTTAGCATCTCCAGGTTGGAATTGACTATGGTTGAGGAAATGAATACCCTTCATGAGAATCAAACATGTTGCCTTACTATTATCCCTTCTAGTAAGTAGCTTATTAGTTGTCGTTGGGTCTATACAGTAAATATTAACCCGATTATTCGGTTGAACGCTTGAAAGCATGTTTGGTTGCCAAAGGCTACACCTAGACATATTGTAAGGATTACTGAGAGACTTTTTTTCCCTATTACTTTTCTTAATTCTGTTAGAAGTCTTATTTCTATTACAATTAGTTGTGATTGACTTTTGTATCAGCTTAGACATCAAGTATGTCTTTTTACAGAGAGACCTCCAGGTTATGTCGTCCCTAGTAAGGAATAAGTAGTGTGTCGTCTAGAGAAAGTACTATATGGTCGGAAACAATAACCGCATGCTTGATTAATAAGTTCAACACAGTTGTACATCAGTATGGTTTTAAGCACTCTACATCAGACTGACCGTGCCTTCAAACAAATAGTACACCCAGACATATTGTGTGGATTACTGTGTGACTTTTTTCCCTATTGCTCGTTTTAACTCTATTAGAGGTTTTATTTCTGTTGCAATTAGTTATGATTGACTTTTGTATTAGCTAGACATCAAGAATGACTTTTTACTTGGAGATCTATAGTAGGAGGTTTAATGGATATACAACCTCCAAGTTATGTTGAACTTTGTGAGTAACAAGCAATGTGTCGTCTAAAGAAAGTACTATAATGGTTTGAAACAATTACCACATGCTTGATTTGATAAGTTCAATACTACTTTTGTGTGGTTTTAAGCGCTCTATCTCAGGCCATTCAGTTTTTATTTGTTGTTCTTCTGTAGGTGTTATTATTATTCTTATTGTGTATGTTGATATGACATTATCATTAGTGTTAATGACTCGGATGGTATTGTCCACTTTAAAATCCATCTGGGAAACAGTTTCATACCAAAGACTTGGGGTTTTTTTTGGTATTCTTGGGATTGAGGTTGCTTAATCAAATGAAGGTATCAGTTTGTGCCAACGGAAACATGTATTGGATTTATTATCTGAAATTAGTACTCTTGGTGCACGACCAGTTGATACTCCCATGGACCTTATAGTTAATACCGAGAATGGTGAAACGTTTGATGATATAGGGCACTATTACAGGTTGGTTGGTAATCTGATTTATTTTATAGTTACATGTCCAGATATTACTACGAACTACCTATGTTGTTGTAATGGTTAGTCAGTTCATGCACGCTTCTCGTAAGTCTCATTGGGAGACTGTCTGTTGTATTCTTCAGTATTTGAAAGGAGTATCGGGTAAAGGATTGTTCACTGTCCTTCATCATCTATGACTATTACTAGTTTTTCTGATGCTATTTGGACAGATAGTCGTGTTGATAGACGATCTACCTCAAGTTATTATTCATTTATTGATGGTAATCTTGTTACGTGGCAAAACAAGAAATAGAATATATTTGCACGTTTGAGTGCAAAGGCTGAATACTGGGTCATGATTCATATTGCGTGTGAGATGTTATTGGTTCGTTCTCTACTTCAGGATATGGGTATTAGTGTACCTTCATTGTGACAACTAGACAACTATTTTTATTACGAGTAATCTTGTGTTTCATGAGAGGACTAAACAAATCGAAGTGAATTGTCATCTTATTCGAGATCGTTTGATACGAAAGGACATTATCACATTATAGATCAAGTAGTGACCAGATGGGGTAGCTAGGTGACATCCTTTCTGAACGATCTGTCTTCAATAATTTTTGTTCCAAGCTGGACATCTTTGTTCTTTGTGCTTTAGCTTGAGGGAAGTGTTAGAGTTTTTAATTTATATTATTAGTAGTATAGGGTAATAATGTAATTATCCATAATATCAGTTTATTATAAATAAAAATAAATGAGTGTTGAGCAACTTAGCCTACACGACACATTACTCTCTTTCTTTTCTTCTCCTTTTCTTACAAACACCTGCTTCTACAATTTTAACTTGTCTGAATGCTCGTGACATCATGTCTGGCGTTGCCCATTCTTCTTTTCTCCTTTTGATCCCTCTGTCTAATGAAAATTTTCATTGTACTTGAAAATGTGATTTGCAAGTGGGCTTTTCGGACTTGATTTGTCGCAACAAGAGGTATTATCCTAGCACTCATAAACCACGAGGACCCAACATCATGTTTTTAATGGAACCACATTGGTATTGAATGGCAGTATTGTTAGGCATTACTGTGTCCAATATGGACATCAACCTTATTTTAAGATTACATAATTTGCAAGAGAGGTATACTTTTTACAACCATATAAAATAGAGGCAGTAACAATATAATATTAATACTCCCAAGTCCCAACAATGTTGAAGTTAGGGTTTTAAAAGGGAGAGATTTGAGCCATACTAGTAGTTCACACGCTATCCCGGCCATTCACTCTCATAGTATATATAAGATTGTGAACGACGACTAAAAGATTAGGTGATAGAGATCGAAAAGAGATTTGATGAGCTTAAATTTAAGAATTGAATTTTATTATTTGTTTTAGTATAATTTTATTAGTTAAGAAATATTTGTTTGACTAGGAGTATTAATTAGAGTTTGACTAAGAAATTATTATAGAGTTTTAGTAGGATAAGGATTTGAGAGTTTGATTATGAAACTCTTTAAGTATTTTAGTAGGAAAATATTTTTTATTTTAGTAGGGAACTTGACCTATAAATAAAGGTGTAATCCCAATTATTTTGATTAGAGATATTATGAATAAGAATTAAGTATTCTTTGTGGAGATTTGTGTGTTTTTTCACCGATTCCTTGCGAGGATGAGGTAAACCTCTTTCACCCCTTATTCTTTCTTCTTCTCTTTCTATTCTGTGAGTTCTAGACCTTCCCGATCTACATCAATTTGGTATCAGAGCCCAACTTCAATTTGTAAAAAAAAAAAAAATGTTCATTGCTGCACTGTTCATCGGCACTATTCATAGGTACTGTTCATTGGCCGGACAGTTAAAAAAAAAAACTTTCTTAACAGATTCAGAAAATTGCAGCAACATCTCAACTGTTTCAAAAATTACAGAAACACTTCAGAAAGTTTCAGAAGTTGCAGAACCACTATCAGAAGTTTCAAAAATTGCAGAATCTTTCTCCAAAAGTTCTAGAATTGCAGAAATATCCCCAACATATCCATAAAATTATAGAATAATCCCTGAAAAGTTTCAGAATTTTCACTTGATTATGATGATTTCTAACGCCGAATTAAATGCCAAAGTAGAGGCTTTATCCCAAGTACAAGTTGATTTACAAAAGGTTATGAATGCTAGATTAGATACAATTCAAGCATCTATCGATTCACTGAAAGAACTTGTGCTCGTTACAGTTTGTGAAACCAAAACAAGTGAAGATTTTAACTTTGTCTCTTTAAGTGTCAACCAAAAAGTGGTTGAACACAGCCCTCTAGTGATACCACAAATTCCACCACCACAAATTCCACCACTACAAGTTCCAATCCGATTGAATCCCGATAAACTGAAGTTATTCAATGTTGATGAGACCAAAAGTTCTATTTATACTCATCCTACAACAAGTGCTTTTCATAAACCGATTGCAAAGGGTGTTCCTATAAATGAAGTTAAACAAGTTTCAAACGTGATTTTTTTAGATGGGGTTGTTACTTTTTCGTCAACATCTGCACTATCCTTTTATCTAGAACAAAGTGTGAAGGTTATTGAAGAGAAATCTTACTTCTATGCTATCGGGCTTGAAGATGTGTTTCACCGTTTGATGTCAGTTCTTTTGGAGTATTCTTGCTACAACAACTCTTCGGAGAAGAGTTTTTTTCAACTGAGAAGAATTGATAGAGATCGAAAAGGGATTGGATGAGTTTAAATTTAAGAATTGAATTTTATTATTTATTTTAGTATTATTTTATTAGTTAAGAAATATTTGTTTGACTAGGAGTATTAATTAGAGTTTGACTAAGAAATTATTATAGAGTTTTAGTAGGATAAGGATTTGAGAGTTTAATAATGAAACTCTTTAAGTATTTTAGTAGGAAAATAATTTTTATTTTAGTAGGGAACTTGACCGATAAATAAAGGTGTAATCCCAATTATTTTGATTAGAGAGATTATGAATAAGAATTGAGTATTCTCTACAGAGATTTGTGTGTTTCTTTACCGATTCCTTGCGAGGATGAGGTAAATCTCTTTCACCCCTTCTACTATCTTCTTCTCTTTCTATTCTGTGAATTCTAGACCTTCCCGATCTACATCACTAGGATAACCCTATAAATAGTATACTTGATACATACTCTTAACATATGCTTACAATGCGGGTGCTTGGCCTGATATTCTGAGGGAGAGAATCTACGTGTATTTTTCACCTATGATTACATGCAGTTTATATGTTTGCCTGTATATAAGTTGGGCCTTGGATCCTGCTAAGTGACAACCTACATATCACTTGGGTTGAATCGGGTACACATTTATACAATGCAAAAAATCTATCCCACATGTACAATTTGTTTATTAATTAGATGTCTTTAGGTAAGGTATCCATAAAAGCACCAAAAACACATATACAAAGCCAAAAGGAAAAATGCGTAAGAGAAAGAATACAAGCTAAAGCAAGGAGAATTGCATTGATATCCATTTTGATTGAAGGTACTTTCAATTTCTTAAATTTTTATATCCTATAAATCAGTCTGAAACTAAGTTCCTCCTTTAATTGAGCTCTCTTGCTGGAAGCAGATTTGAAGTGCCCATCTCTCATCTTTATCCTGGTGTTCTATGAACTGCAGTGGTTGCAAATGTGCCAATGATTGGCCCTTGTCAAACTGAAAAGTGTTGTTTAGGGATATTAGTTCACCTGTTGCCATATCGATGACTAGTAATATTCTCTTGAAAATGCTGACCCCAAACCACTAGAAAAAAGAGAGAGAGAGAGAGAGAGAGGGAGGGAGGGATGTGGCACTAGCAATGAGCTTGGCAGAGTATCACTGTTGGGTGAGGACCTTGCTAAGGCACCCTTAGCTAGGTTAGTTGGGTGCAAACATGTATGCCTTGTAATAAAATAAAAGCGTCGCGGTTGTCATTGGATGGAAATATTGTTTTCTGCATCAGGTTTCTGGGAACTTTTAAGAGCTCTAGCAGGAAAACATGTAGGAAGAAAGCAGACAACGTCGCCAAGAAAAAGTTTTATTCTATACAACTAGTTGAAGAGAGTAAAAGAAGTCAGCTATGACATATTTAAATCAGATACTGACAATATCATCCTTTTCTGCAGATAATCAGGCTGGGCAATCATTTGTTTCCTACATAACTGCAAAGGTGAAATTTGTTTGCTGTTATAGCTATTCGATCTGACCCTTTGACATCAATTAGTTTGTATCTTAAATAATTTTGTTGTGCATTATTTTTCTTTGTCTTCTTGTTAACAACTATGTGTATCTATTGGAGGTTTGTGCTGGCCTTGTTGGAAAATTCAAGATTAAATTCTTATGTCACAGCACAACTGATGCCTACTTGTTTCCTTCTTCTTTAGATTCTTGACGGCATTCAAGTGTCCATTAGACGCGTCCATGTCCTGTATCGTGATATGTTTTCCGACTCGGTATGGTTTATTTTTTTACTCCGATATTTTTCTATTATTGTCCATTACTTTTCATTAATGTTCTTGTTTTCTGGCCATTTCTTCCCGTCATTATGAGGAGACAATTTCTTTATTTTCATTCTTGTTTTTATTTTTTTTTCCCAATTTGAGATGCTATCTCTTTGTTGTTTAAAATTTGTTTTCTCCTTTCCAATTGTGAAAACTAGAAGGTGAACAAATATCTCATTGCACACTAAATAGAAAATGTGCCTCTAGAGCAATTTGGCCTTCTGAAGTGATATGAGGGGCATTCCTTCATTTAGATATTAATTTTAAGGGTAAATATCACTCTCACCCCCTCACATTTGGTTTTATTACACAGACACTCCCTCACATTTTAAAAATGACATTGAGACTCCAATAGGTGATCAACGTTAACAATATTATTAACAAGACTATTTTATCCTTAATTAATTAATCAAATCCATGTCCAGATCTAAACCCATCACCCCATGCCCAAGACAACACTCCACGACCTGTGATCCATGACCTAAAATCCTCTATGCCCGAAGCCCCAACAATTAAGCAATATCCCTTTTCCCTCTTTCCCTGCACCACCCCCGACCTCCATTGTTCACCACAGAACACTCCCAACACTCGAAAAGTAGATTTAAAGCATAGATCTGAAGCACAGATGTGATATCGAAGTATAGATATAAAGAAATTTGATCAAATCGAAGCACAAATTTCCACTGCCATTAGCGGTGCTAGTGCACAATTGTGAGGGTTGCTGATGAAGCTTGCTTAAATAGATTGCAGATTGCATCTGTGTGTTTATGTATGAGAGGGAGGGAGGGAGGGAGGGAGGGAGAAATGTCGTGCATTGTGCAGAGGTGGTGGTTTAGATGCGTTTGTGTAGTGACAATGGGGAGTAGAGGTGGTTGATAATGAGTTTGATCTAGGTGGTTTGATGTTGTTTGAAGATGGGTTGCGTCTAGGTGGTGGTTGTAGTGGAGGCGGAGGCGGTTTTAGTGTGTTGTTGTCTCTCTCTGTGCTATCCCTTATTGTGATTGGATTTAAGCGGTGATGGATCCGGTGGTGATGGGCGGCGGGGGGAAGAATTTATGTAATTAGATAAATAATAAATGAAAATAAAATTAATGTAGGATAATTGGATAGATAGTTATTAAGATTTTAAAAAAATTGATTAAATTTTAAATTGTAATAATAATCCCAAACATTATTTAATAAACAAGAAGCATTCAATATTTAACTTACTAATTTGATAGATTAGGAAATTAAACATTTGAGGGTTAAAATTTTAATCTATTTATGAAATAAATGAGGGGTAAATTTGTAGGGTAAGAAAAATATATATTTAAATTCTTAAAATTAATTTTGGAGGGTATTTTTTGTATTCTAAGGATTATTATTGATGACATTAGCTTTGATTGTTAACAATTTTAGCGTTTTTTAGCTAGAGGGGATGTCGCAGAAGTTATTAATGTTAAGGGAGGTCGGTGTCATTTTTAAAATGTGAAGGGGTGTCTGTGTAATAAAATCAAATGTCAGGGGATGTAAGTGATATTTACCCTAATTTTAATTTTAACACCGTTATGTAGAGAATGTGAAAAGTTATTTTTCTTCCTAAAGTAATGTGAAATTTAGATTGCAGGTTATATTTCTTCCCACCGTTTTGTGAAATTTGAAATGATTGCGTAGTTGTTTTCTAATGTCTTCCAGGCACAAACGATATTTGGTTTAAAGTTTTCCAGCCTGACAGTTATGACGCAAAATCTTTTCGGGTATTGACTTATCTTTCATTTGTAGAAATTGAATTTACATTATAGAAAGCCAACATAAAATTAGTTATCCTTGCTATTCTAGTTCTTGGATTCCCATTACAACCCCATCATGGAAGTTTTTGGTATTTTCATTGCACAGAAAATTAATTCAGATGCTACATTTAGAAATTTGGTCTTATACATTATTCAGGATTAAAAGGAAGGCAGAGAAAACAGGCTCACGTGTTCTCAAGTGAATAAATAACTGCTTTGAAGAAGCCATTGTCTCATTAATACCTTAAGTTTGTCTTACTAAGGAAAACAAAACTGAAAAAGAAAAGGCCAGAAAATGCTTGAGATATGGGCACCAAGTCAAAAGTAGCAAGGGTATTTTTGGAAATCAACCTAACAGGAGGAAAACATTGGACCCCAGATATGGTGTAAAGATAAAGTAGAAATGGCTGGGAAAAAAGGTGAAAATTGAATATGGGAGAAGAGATAAATATTAGATAAAACAAGTGGAAATCATGCGACCATTATTAATAGTCATGGCTAAGTGTACTAATTTGTTGGAGGATTCATATGTGGGAGGTGTGGATGAATAGTTTGGATTCTCAATTACCACTACTGAAAGTTGTACGATAACCATAATAAAATAAAGAGAGAGGTTGAGGGATGATTTACATTGGTGATTATATAAACAAATTTATGTTGTGATCCACCGCCTTAGTGTTTTACTTTTTTATGCCCTCAAGTATTCCCAAATCAATCAACAACTATTTTGAAGAAGCAATTCTCTTAATATTGCCTTAAATCTCGGTTTCTGCGGACCTATAATGTTAGTTAGTAAACTTAACAAGATAGTTGGAGAGTTTATTTAGTAAGGTCATGATAGGGAATCAACTGTGGAAGGAAATTGACACATTGCTTTCATGGTCACTTCTATGATAAGTAGCTGATTAATCAGATAACTACGGAATTTTCTTCTTAATGAAAGTCAGTCAAAGTTTAATCTTAAAGGCATTTAATAAGTGATAGTTTTTGGATCTCATAAATTAGATAGAGTATTACACCCCAAAAAAAAAAAGATTGAGGGGAAAAAAACTAAAAGAAAAAGAAAAGAAAAGGCAAGATATGAGTGCATATAGTTAAAAAAGCCCCAGCCCCAGATATTTTTGAAAATCAACTTAATGGGGGGAAAACAGTCGACCTGTCTATACAGGGCATCGATTGCATAAACTCAAAGTAGTAAGGGTATTTTTGTGAATGAAATAGGCGGGAGAAAAATTGTGTGGACAGACATATGCTAGATGGGAGGTGTAAAAACCTGAAATAAATAGGGGAAATGAGTAAAATAACATAGCAGGAGAATCGATATGCATCACTATTCTTAATATAGCTAGTATAGTGAGAAGTAGATTACCCATTTTTTGGAAATAAACTAAATAGGAAGAGGACAGTGTACCCATGCATGGAGATGGATGGCAAAAAAAAATTGGTATTTGTAGAAATAAACTTGATGGGAGCGAAATTATGTAGACGAACCTATTCTGGATGGGCGATGTAAAAATCTGAAATTAGAAGCGCAATTGCGTAAAATAACGTAGCAGGAGAATAAAATGCATCACCATTTTTAATATAGGTAATGGATATTTATGCTATCATTTTCTGGTTTCATTTTCTATGATTATCTACATGATTAGCATTCTAGTTCTCCTTGAATATCTCTTGAACAATAAATCCCAGGGGTCTGGTATTATTTCAAACACAAGCCGGTTTTCTCTTTGCTTTTTATGGTATTAACTATCTAACATATCCATATGCTCCATGAAGTTGGAATTGAAATGTAATGCTAAAATTGTCTTCAAATGGAAACTTTTTGGCTAAGCAGCATCTTTTACGTTTTTGCAAGATGTGTACTTCATATTAGTGTTTGCTCACATTCTTTTATTAGGCCAGAGTCAGCTCAAGCCTCGAGTAAGAATTGTTATTTTGCCACCCTCAGTAACATTCTATGGTATATGGATTTTATCAAACCCATCGTCAATTTTATGACCCTACCATTCTTACCATGTATGCTAAATCTCAAGTTTCTTTTATCTGTGTAGATAATCGAGAATCATCTCTTGTATGTTGTTAAAGTCAAAAAAATATCAAAGAAATTTGTCATTTGAAGTGTGATTGGGATAAGAGCTATATCTGTTTTATTTGGGTAGTTCAAGGGATATATATTAGCCTCCTGAGAATTTGATGTTGTGTTAGCATGCTGAAACTGATACATGATTCTAATTTAATGATGGGTTCGGCAAACAATGAGTCTCATAGAATGTTAATGTGACATGCAACAATTTCTGATTTAGTTTTAGTTGATCATGACCTTATTTACCTATTTAAGTTGAGTGGGAAAAATTGTCATTTGTTGATATGCATCTATTTTTCAGGTTTTCTGGTGAAAAGGGTAGAGTGGGTCAAGTCAACAAACTTGTGGATGTTCAAGGTTTTGAAATTTATTGTAGTACTATTAGAGGGACTTTTGATTCGACGAGTGAAGAGGATTCTGAGGAGACTAATGTTTGGGGCAATGAAATATTGGAAGGCGATAAATATGTGAATATGGTGGCGTCATTCAATGTATCCATGTCTCTTTTGGTATGAATTCATTGTCAGAGCTCTTGCACAATTACTTTTTTTCTTTTCATTCTGTTAGACAATTTGTATTCTTGCTTATTAAGATTTTGATGTAGTATTTTCCTTTTAAGCATGAGGATTGGCCTTGGCGTAGAGGTAAGGTAGCTCCATTATGACATGAGTGTCAAGGAATTTAGTTGTGGAAAGTCTCTTTGCATGTGTGGGAAAGATTGTTTACATTGGAACTTGATGCAATGGGTAGCTCCTCACTCCCAATGGTGGGTGACTTAGACTATTTTTGTCTTCTTTTATTGAAATTAATGTAATATCTTTGGATTTTTGGGTTTGACCTTGGTTTGAAAGTCAAAAGAGACCTGAGTAGGTCTTCTATTTTCAAACTTTCAACAACTTGACTATGGTTGTCACCTTAGCTTGGAATCTCTCCAGTAGAGATCTCAACATCTTCTAAATTATGGATGCATCCTCATATTTCTTTCATAGGGCGAAGGATGAATTTACTATGTCACTAAATGTTCATAGTATTCACAAAAGGTCTCACTCTCCTCCATCCTAAGTGTCTCAAACTGAGAACTCGTCCCCTCGTGGAAAACCTTTAAAGTATTCCATGGGTACTTGGAAGTCTTGCAAGTGGAGATCGTCTTGATTCGTTTTTCAATATGACATTGAATATTTTATTCGGGCATTTAGAGTTCCACCTAGTGGACTCATAATCATCCTTTGTCCATGAACTTTTGGATTTTGGCTTGGTGATGGTATCGGTTCCCACTGTCTTGAATTGAGGAAGGGGCTGTCGTCCATGCTACTTACACGGTGACCCATACTCATTCATTTATAGACTTAAGAAAGGTTTTCATCCATGCCTTCCATTAAGCATAATTTGTGCCATAGTATAGTGTTGGTTTTGAAATCGATGTGCCTATCTTTGAGTATCCATCTCAAACATCAGGGGTTTTGATAGATCTCAAAAAATAAAAAAAAATAACAGGTCAAACCTCTCGGGGTTACTGGTGTTCTCTTATACCAATTGAGAGTGGGATATGGATCGTCTCGAATACGCTGAACTCAGATGTAATTGACCTAATGTGGGTGACTAGATTTTGGCCCTTGATTGCAAGATTGAATGCCCAATTCAAAACCTAATTCTATGCACAAATCCCCTAAATTAACACAATTTGAAGATTTAATGCAAATCCCCAAATTCAAACCTCTCCCCAATCCAGTTGAAATTACCTAAGTCAAACGTCCAACGCCTCAAATTCTTTTCTCAAGTGAACAATTGATCTAAGCATGTGAGGAAAGGAAACATAAAATTGCAATCATGGAAAAAAATAATGCAAGAAAGCACTCAACTACAACACAAAAAATTTTAAGAGAAATCCTTGCAGGGAAAAAGTGGGACTGTAGTCCACCTAACCTAATCCACTAAGCTCAAAGTAAGATTACATGCCGTAAGACTTGTATGCCAACCAATCTTAAGTTCTTAAGTTCAATCTTCACTCTCGAATCCACCGCTAGCTCTTGGTAACAACTTCACTAAGCAACGAATGGAACTCCACAATCTACTCTTAGAATCCTCCTAAGATCTCTCTACCTCTGTGGGTTTGTGGGTTTTTTACTAGATCGAACAATCTCTTCAAAATTGAAGGTTTAAGCACAAGATTAATCTGAGTATATTAATGGCCTCTTTGGATTTAGGAAGTTATGGGTTTGTTTCTAAACCCTCTAGATAGTCCCTAAAAGTTTTTCAGGCTTTGTGAGGCTTACCCTAGTGAGAAAAAACCGTCCCATTTATATAGGTAGTGACAATAGAGTTTAATTACCTCCAGCGTGGCAAACATCGACTCTTATCACCGCCTAGGAAAGGATCAGTCCACTAAATAGTGTTTTTAAGGAAACCCCAATCAACCTTGTGGATTATAACAATGTCAATCCACCAGCCTACCTAAAAAGGCCCTTGCAAGGCACCAATCTAGATATGGTGAAAGTTTTGTAGGCTAACTTACAACCTTCCACTATCCTTGCTCTTTGCACTTAAAATAAGCTCAATCAGATAGACTTGCAAACTTCCTTAGAGCTATGCCCTCCGAATCAGGGCCAATAACGATGTGCAGCATAAAATGAGCATAGATACAAATAGTAGAAAGAGTTGTCCCTTGCTCAAGTGAGTACTTAAGCGAAAAGATGTGTTCTTGAAGAATTAAGCGTAATCGCTTATGAATGCAAGGGTAAAAAGGTTAAGTTGGCGTCCAATCGCTTCTAACGATATTCCATGATGAAGATGGGTGACTGGTACTCCAAAACCATAAAAAATATGACCATGTCATGGTTGTTTTAAAGTTGAGGTGTCAATGGGTTGTTGAAGACTAGTTTTCCCAAATCACCTACCCAATTGATTGCCAATTTGTCAGTTGAGTGGCCTCTATTCCAAAATTGTGGATTAAAATTTCAATTCAGTTGATACACACCAGATACTACCTAGGGACATGTTCCTGTATCAGAAAATGTGGACTTACTAATGTGGGTACTACCAATGAGCTTGGAGTTGTCTATTGGCCAAAGTTGACATTATCATGGCTCGGTCAAAACTTTTTCATTGAATTTGACCTTGGATTGAAGCCTGAAATGCCCTTGAGGCTTTAGACTCTCTATCCACATGATGTCATGAGCCAAGTATCCTATCGAAAGTTATAAAATTGTCTATCTAAACAGCATTGTTTCTTGCATAGGGTTTTACTTCTTGTATGCTGACAATTTGGCTAATATATTCATATGCGTGTCATACAGGTTTTTCTGGGATCGGCCTGGTTTTTAAGTATGCTATTGTTTGTAAATATTCTGAACTTAATGCGGATAGTTGTACCTTGGTTTTCCTTTTTGTATAGTGTATATTTCTTCATGCCTTGTGTGTGTGTGTGTGTTTTTTTTTTTTTCAGTTGTGCTACATGATTTCTTGCTTAGTTAGTGCTTCAATTTTTCACATAGGTGAACAGATCAGGAAAGCTTGAGAATGATGCACCGCAATATATCGTCAGTTTTGAGCTAACAGGCCTGGTGTGTTCAGTGTTGTATTGGCATTGTGTTAACAATAAAATATATCTTTAGATCTATTGATTGTTTTTTGTTGACCATTTCTATTTTTCTTGCACTGCAATTTTATTAGGTAATGTCAATTGATGAGGTTCAGCTGCAACAACTCTTGGTTCTATGTGATTCTTTAGGCACATGCCAATTGAAAGCGAAGTAAGTTCAGAATTTTCATTGCTATTGCTATCATTACTTCCTTTCCTATTGGTTTTTCTTTATGCTATTGGTTGTGGTGGATTGGTCTATTAATAGTCTATGAGAGTAAAAACTTGTTTACTTCAGGAAGAAATTTAAAAGGTTGATTTAAATTTGCATTTGCGTTATTTTCTTACATTGAGGGATTCCCACTTGTTCTGGTGATGGTTTGTTTGATTTCTGTTTTGCTTGGGAATGCTTGAAGTGTATGTTGTTTAACATATATTCTTCAGGAGGGTGCTAACAGTATGGAGGTATGTTATTTTCTAGGATTATTTTTCTTGATAGGTTTGAGTTACATAAGAGTCACCATTGAATCTCACAATTCAGTATATTAGATTTCTTCTTCTTCTTCAGTTAAGAAGTACACATGTATTGGGAACATAAATGTGCTGATGTAAGATGATAGGTTGTATTTCTTATTGATCTTTTGGTCTTGTGGTTGGAGTAGTAGACGTCAAAGCTATTAGAACTCCACCCAAAACTAACTGACAATGGGTGGAGAGGCCCCTCAAATGTGTAAATTAACCTTGTTGGTTTTAATTATTCGATGTGGTTTTAATTATTCCATGTGGATCCTGGGCTTGCACGTGGGGTCAACAGATAAACAAACAACTATGCATACCAAAAAATTCAAATGGTTAAGAGACTTGGGTCACTGACTACTCAAGGCATAGTTTTGATGCTATATTGGAGCATCCGACCCAAAATCAATTGGCTATGTGTGGAGTAGTCCTTCAAGTATATAAACCAACGTTAGCGGTTATAATTATTCAATATAGTATCCGACCTAAAACCAATTGACTATGAGTGGATTAGCCCTTCAACCTTAATTGTCTTAATTATTTGATGTGAGATACAAGCTCTTGTAACAAAAGCATCCTAGTATAGCTAAGGATAGGGTGTGTCTTTATCGTATGGAGACTGTGGATTGCTTTCAACAACCAGAGAAGGATTTTTATCATTATTGTAGAGTTTTAAATTGCAAAACCCAGAGTTTTGGTTACTGCCAAGTAAGGTGTAGCTTGCAAGCCTCAAATTGTTTGTCATATACCTTGTGGGTGTTTGAAAGTTGAAAGAAGTTGATATAAGTCCACCAAACGGAAATTGAGGGCTCCTAGTACATATTTCACATTTTTTTTTAGTCTGCCCTTTTTTACACAATTTCTAATCAATCTACTAAGTTTTAAAAATAAAAATTGTAATCTGACCCCTCCAGTTTTTTTTTCCTCTTTTTCTTTTCTTTTTGTTCTTTGATTTTTTTTTTCTCAAAATCCATTGTATGCATGCCTGGATCTCACAGTGGAGGTCTGTTATTGTTGGGGGTTTTGTCATGGGTTGGGCACAGGTCATTGGTTGGAGTATTGATTGGGTTTGATTTTATTTATTTAAATTTGATCAAATAATTGAGGGCAAAAATGGTCGTTTTATCAAAACTGTTACCGCCGTTCAACTATTGGGGTCTCATTGTGATTTATGAAATCTTAAAGGGCATCCGTGTAATAAAACCAAATGTCAGGGGTCCTTGTGAAATTTTCCCTTTATGTATTTGTTTTTGTAATGGGACCAACAAAGAGAAGATTATTAATCTGTTAGGGGAATGCAAGACAGATGATAGAAAAAGAGATGAAGTGACTGGCAAAAAACCCTTATCATACAAAGAAGAAATAGAACCATCAGCTATTCTATCTTTTGTTTTTGTGAACGTGTAGTATAAGATGAGAACAAAGTGCGCAATCTATAACAAAGTTGACAATCTAGTCATGCTTAGAGGCCACCGAATCAATTATTTAGGGTGGGAAAGACAATTACAAGGTGCATTCTCTGCTGTTGTTAAGTTAATTGAATGGGAAAAATAAGTGGATGTAATGGTAAGTATCTCTGTCAACTGTCTCCCCTGTAAAATTCACTGTCTCAATTAGAGGAGACAAAGCAATACTTGATGAAGAAGTCTATAACATTGTCAATTCAGTCTCTGCATACCTTGCAATCCTTGACACTCATCAAATAGCTCTGAGAGAGCCCAAATACTGTAAGAAACACAACAAAGTTGTCAAAGCATTACCCTATCATGCACAACATCTTTGAAATGTAGTCAGATGAGCAAAAACATTTTTGTTCAAACTAGAATATGAAGAAAACATGATTGCCGACCACTGTAAGGCGAAATTCTCAAATATAATTCAAAACCATTGGGTAATCTTTGGTAGGGTTTAACTGGAAGGCTTGCATTGAAAGTAGGAAACCGAAGTAAAAAATGACCAGGGCTGTTTCTCTGAAAAATCACCATCTATTTGGAAAATTGCATGAAATGTTGGAAAGATACTAACTAAAAATTGCAGCTAAACTCTACTCCTCCTGATGATCATGCTGTTTTTTTGGGAAGCTATGAACTCTTCATACATTGTTCGTGCAAACCTATGCATGTCGCTCATAGCAAGTTGAATTCATATAAGCAAATGATCGAAGAAAAAAAAGTGAAAATAGGAGAAAAAGAGAGAAACAATAGGGCTATGAAAAGGGAGTATGAATTAGGGTTCTCTCCTCATGGGTTTGATTTAATGGTGACCTAGCCCTTTTGTATAATCATAATAAAAAATGCACTCATTCTATCATCTTTAAGTATCTAGGTATATGGTTGGTTCACTTGGGAAGGCCTAATTCGATAGTCCTAAATCCTAATCCTTTCGCCTAAGTGTGAACACTCAATTCAGTTGCAATAAGTGGGGTACATATCAACTGAGGGATATAAAAATGGTCCTAGTCAGAAAAATACAGTAAATAAGCCTACTAAAGACTATAGGAGATTACCATTTTTTATTGCTTTGAAATGTATCGTGTTTAGCTTCTGAGGGAGGCATATATACCTACATTTTTTTTGACAAGTAAGAAATATAATGCTTTAAAAGAGCACCAATGGGGATACCATGCATGCGCCAAGTATATCCTTCGCAAATTGATAGCATTGAATTCGAGGACAGATTAATTTTATTGACCTTAAAGAAAGTTTAAGCTTGACGTGAATTTTACGTTTGATCCGACATCAACAAATATTAAATGAAATGCCAACAGATGCTGCAGCACTTTGTAAACTGGGAGTTCACGAGCCTGACTTATAAAGAACATTGGAAACTTTTTGTATTTCATGACTGACGGTTGCTGCAGTCCTTGGTAAAAGGAAGGTTCACAAGAGCCTGACTCATAAGGAATGTAGGAAACTTTTTGTACTTCATTGAAGTTCTTTTGTGCATGATTAATGTCTTTCTCAAACTTCTCATTTTTTAGATGAAGGCTAAAATTTAGAGGTATTGGAACTTGTGCCACAATTATGTGTTAAGACCTCCCAAACTAGTATGAGTCTTGTGCCATCTTCATGAGTAGGCAATTAGTTTAGAGTTGGATCCATTAACATGGTATCAGAGTTTGGCTTTAGGAGGTTTTCTACGAGTCTCTATTTCACTTCGATTGATTTTTGTAGTTGATTTATTCTTTATTCATGTCATAGTGAAAATGTCTTATATTTTCCTGTCCACGTGCATGTGAAGGTCACACGTGTGGGGAGTATTAATGGGGTTCCCACGTTAATATAGTAACGCCTCCTAAATTATTATGAGTCTTTTGGGCCTTTCCAGTCATAACCGATTTATTTTGAGTTGTATACTTAAACAGAAGGCATCGACATGAATACCCCTATAATAAGTCTTTTTAGAGAATTTTGCATGGATCAACTGGACACTTCTCTTTCTAAATTTCACATGTAATTTTGCTCTTTTGTTGGTGTGTATTCTTTGTTTTTATATGGATGGGAGTCCATCGGTTCCTCTGGACCAGCATTAGTAGCGTTGCGTTGTTGTTGAATGTTGTAGATATGGCCGTTATCGTCCATGGTGGAGTCCTTTATCGAAAAAACAAAAGGGATGGCAAACAGCATGGTGGCGCTATGCCCAGCAATGTATCCTTTCAGATGTTCATAAAAGATTGAAGAAAACTTCTTGGACGTACCTTGGAGAACGGCTGTAAGTTAACTCATCAGGAAATACTTGTTTTCCAGACATTAGGGAATGAAATCTGGCAACAGAAATTTCACGTCGTTTTGTGCATTGCAATATAATGCAAGGGACCTCGGCGCGTTAGCTCTCTTTGCTCCTGAAATCACATTGTTTGCCTCATGTAGAATTCTGATCTTTCACACACTGGGAAGTTATAGGTTTTTTCTTAACTTATGCAAATCCATACTTGTTCAACTTTAATGTAAATATTATTTTTCTAATAACAGAAACCGTCGGCGGAGGTATGTCAACTCGTACAAACTTAAATTGCAACGCCTTCAGCAAGAGCAGGTGATGCATTTCATTTATAATTACTGACACCATCTCACTTAGGTAATGCATAATGTAAGCCTATAACATTTTCTCATGTACTTTGCTTTAATTACCACATCTGATGTTTTGAGTTTACCCTTTTTCTCTCATAATTTAGGACTCTTTTGGAACATTTTATGGAATATATTTAAATTGTGGTGGAAACCTTTATTATTCAATAGTATTATTCCTAGAAACAACACTCAATTGAAATCAAATTAGTTTTATGGGGTGTAAATTTTGTTTCGTTTAGAAGCAGTGTTCTATCTCTGAATTATTTTACTTAGCACATTGTGATTGTTTTGTTAGCAAATGCTTGATGGGGACCAAACATGGTATGACCTTTTGTTTTTGCTTATTTTTGAATTAAGAAGTGCATTCATTACATTATCTTGTTTACTTTAGTTAAAAAGGTCATTTTATTGCTAGGACATAAGTAGGTGTAACAATTGTGTCTAATAAGTAGGTCTAACAATTGTGTCGGGTCATGTTGATTCTTAGCGAGTTTGTATAAAAAATCACTCATCTCGTATATGATTGATTTATTAAACGGGTTCAAAATGAAAAATCAAAAACTATTTGTTTATTAAACGGGTTATACGACACGTCTCGTGTTACCTGCTAATTTGACAGCACAAAAAATTCCTAATGAAAAGTCCTAATTTGGCAACAAATTGGATTATCTATTCAACGATTCATCGGGTGATAAACGGATAATTGAGTGGTAAACGAGTAATAGAGTGACATCAATTTATTAAACTGTTAATCAAGTGATAGACGGGATAAGCCACTCCACCTGAACAAGACTCGTTTATTTCGTAGGTTAGGCGGTTCCACTAGTTTATCACTCGAACCTGTTAAGATCAAACCCATATCTGCTAGTTTCGTGTCGATTCGTGATGGATAATCGGGTGGTGTTGAATTTTGCTAGGTCTAAATATAAGATGTAGACTTCTAAATATGCAACACTATGTACAATGAAATATTGTAGTTGTTCCTTAATTTTTTTCTTATTTTTCACAACTAATACTTCCATTTCGATTGAAGATTCATTTCTTTTTCAAACACTTCTCCATGTTATTGTCCAATGTATGTTGGCAAGCATCACTATTGACTTCACTTGTTTTGAAGGATTAGTGTATGCTTTTAGATAAGGCCCAAAATTTAGTCTCGGTGCATTATGTCGGTCACCTAAGAAACACAAACATTTTTGAAGTGTTCGGAAAAGTTTCAAAAACATATTGGAAACGGATAAAAGTTTAGATTTTTTTTTTTCAAAACATTGGTTGAAATATACCGCGATATCTAATGTCTTGAAATATTGGTAGAAACATGTCGAAACATATCGAAGCATTGAATTTTAATTCAATCATTGATTTGTTTCGATTCCATGGAAACATAAACATGTTGGTCGTTTCAAAATGAATTTTAGATCTTTGCTTTTAGAGGCCGAAATATCTCCTCCCCAACCAAAAGCAAAGGACTACTGGCTTACATTTGTTGCCTTTCAAAACGAATGACCAGTGGCTTAAATTATGTTCTAGATACCACAATACCTTTGTATTGATTCTTCCCCCGCGTCCCCACCCCCACCCCCACCTCCGCCCAACCAAAATGCAAAACCTTAAATCCTCAACTTTTTGGAGAGTACAAATGCAGAAAAACTAATTGTTTGTTATGCATGAAAATTTGACTGCCCATAACCTAGTAAGGATTATGGGGGAAACAAAATACAACTGTGCAAACATAAGGAAATTAGTTAGCAATTAGTGAAAATTAGGCTGGCTCTTTTCAATATCAACATGTTCCAAGCTGCACATATTTATTCTATTTTTTACACACCACATTCTTCACTTGAACTTTTTGTTTATGTAATAGTTGACCCTTATGTCATGTCAATATCAAGGCTTCCAATCATTGTGTGAACAAAGGGTGTCATGATAGTGTGATGTATTGACTAACGATCTTTATCTCTGATTTTAATACTGCTATATATCCTTCTAGTGGATATTTTACTGCGATCTGTGTTCTTAATGATTGTTGGTAATGAAGTCCTGCATTTTATGTGCTCACTTATTGGCAAATAGTTTTGATTTATAGTTATGCTAGTATCTTATCTCTTTACATAGCTTCAAGTGTAGGACATGGAGGCTTATTGTGTGAGGTATCCTACAGTTGTATATTTTTGGTAGTAATTTGATTTGAAAAAGGCCAGAGTATGTTTAGGAGTTGCAATGATTTTTGATGAACCTGCTGTGAGAAGTTACTAGCTTAAAAAGAGGAGAAAACAGCTTGAAACGTTGCTGATAAGAGGACTGCAGAGGCAGTTTCTATTTCTTGAAAAATAAGAGGGATAGGTTGTTTCCTTAAGTAGGGTTTAGGGTTTTGAGGTTCAGGTGGCGTTTATAGGCTGCTCAACAGGTTCAATATCAAAGCTTTGGATCCTATGAATCTCAGCCTTACATGTGTCAAGCCATACAGTTAAGATAACATAAAACAAGCCAAATAAGGATGGGGCAGCACTGGACAATGTCTAATAGGCATGCAGTATTTTAGTTGCTGGCTGCTATTGCTAGTATCTCAATTTCACTGACCATCTTAACTAACACAACAATTTCTAGGGATGGGATGGGACAAATCTTACATAATGCTGGTTTACTGGCACTTAGTCACTTATTTATTTAAATAAATCCGTGACCTTAGAGCCTTCAATGTCCTTGATAAACCTCCAAGTACTTCAAAAGTTTAAGTTATTAGAAATGGTGTAACTTAAGTAATTGTACTTCAACACGCCCCTCACACGCGTAGGGTCAGCCCTAGGCAGCCCAGGGCCCCCAAATATATAGTAATATTTTGGGGCCCCAAAAAAATTTAGGGTCTCTAATTTTAATTAGTTTTATAGTTTTAAATATAATTTACGAACCAATAAAAAATTGACACGACATCAACGAGTAGATTTGAACGATAAATGGATGGAATTCTTCGGCTCCTTAAATCAATAGGTCAACACGAATTCAACTAAACGAAACGCATACCTATTAACTTATAGATGATTATAAATAGAACAAATATATATTAAGCAAATTCTGACACGACACGACACGATTGAATGAATATTTTTATATTATCTTTATTTTTTCAGTCTAACCTATTTTTATGTAAATACTTAAAAAATGAGTTTGCTCCTTGTGCAAAACTTTTGATTGACTACAATCAAAATCAACTACCAGAGTAATTATTTATTGCCTAATTTTCATAAATTGTAGTTTTTTTTTAACTTAAATTTGAGACCTTTTTATTTGGGTCCAATATTTTGCTCAATTATTTTTTAAAATACACAAGAAACTAACATAGAATGATTAAAAAACATATTGAGTTTGAGTAGTTTACTATTCAAAATTCGTATTGACATTCATTTTTTAAAAAATAATTTGGCTGTATTAATAAATTTTAATTCTCTTTCTCTATATTTTCAATTGATAACAAATTTGATTATATTTTTGTCTTCAAATTTAACTTCAATTAATGAATTTTTTATTACCCTAACCTTGAATGCAAAAGCTGAATTAGTAGTTTTACATCTCAAATATAAGAAAAACAATTCTTAAATGAATATATATTAATAATTTTTCATTTCCTCTTTTTCAAGTCATTCTTTTGCCAGTTATTAGAAACATAGGAGAGAACTCTTCCGATATTTAGAATTTCATATATATATACATCCTTATTAGTTTAGTCCAAGTTAAATTGAACTTAAAATGATCTGTAAGGGATTCATATCTCTGTCTCAAGAAAATGCTTTCTTTTGAGCCTATATCGGCAATTTACTGGGTTGAATATGGGTGGTCTCAGAACGCTTAGTAAAGACCTCTCTTGTTGGTGTATAAAAGGAAATTAAAATCAATCCTAATATTTATTTAGTCGTATTATATTATTATATTGCATTACAATGGGGCCTCATTAATTATTTTGGCGTAGGACCCTTATGTTTGTTGGACCACCATGGCAGACTAAATTTGGGTCTAGCAAATGGAAATCTTTTATTTATTAGGGTGGTGGTGAGCTTCAAACACATAATTTGATGCTCTGATACCATGTTAAACCACTAACTACTCCAAAAGTTTTGGCTCTCCAAGAGAGTATAATTTTAGTATTTATACTTAAACAATCCTCAAAATTAGTTAGGGAACTGAAAAGACCACCCCTTTTTGGTTAGAAGGATGAGAATCTTACAGTTGGTAAGAAACTATAAGTCAATTCAAGAATGGGATACAAAATTTTAGCAATTAATCATGCTAACTGGTCAACACAGTCATATTCATGAATTGATATATCATCAAGTAAACTGATGTGACAATTTTCTTTGCTATAGCTTTAATAACATGATCTAAGTTTTGGGACCACTTTTTGATGATATTTGGTGAAAGCAAGTCGTTTCTAGAATTACAATTTATAATAAGAGCAATGCTATTGGGACCTAATTTACTGACCTAATTTGCTGACCTAATTCATTATAACATTTGGATTGGCTGTGGAGCCATCAAACATTGGAACTTGGTGTTGATCTAATGGTTCTATTAAAGCCACATCATTATGTCAGCAAATTAGGTTAAATTTTTAGATCTAAATAGTATTACTCTTATAATAAAGCTAATTTGGTAATTGATGTTTGGTAACGCCATCCTCTCTCTTTTTTCATCTCCTTGCATATGTTATTTGCTGTGCCATTTTTTCTTTTGATAAGCCTCTAATTTACTGAAATCAACTTCTGTTTTTTTCTTTCCTTACAAAACATAAACCTTTTTTTGGTCCAATAAGCCCCTCATATTGTTAAATTAGCTTAAGTTCTAAGAAATATGTCTTTTTATGAATCATTTTACAGTTTTTTTAATTAAATCTGATGTTCAAATTTGCTAAGGGTGCTAATAATTCTTAAATCACTTATATTTTGCAGATTATCGTTGATATGTGCCTGCTGAGATGAGATGTATATGTTGTATCTGTTAGAAATCTTCTTAAATGTTTCATTCAGTTGCTTTGTGGTATAATTTATCCACATATTATCTACAACATGCACCTTCGATGAAGCCTGTTCTTTGTCTCGCGCCTAGGCTCCAGGATACCTTGGCTCTTTGGTTCACTTTTCATTTAATACTATAGTAAACGTAGCACTTTCTTCTGCTGTTTTAAAGACATTAGTTATCTGCTTAATAATCCTGGTTGCTTCTTTAAGACAGTAATTATCTTCCTGATATACCATTAACCATGGAAATAAAGAGTGGCACTTAAGTGTGCGTGTTTAAGACAATAGTTGTCTTCCTGGCATACCATCATTTGTGTATTTCACTGCCAAAATGTTTTAGTCAGCTGGGTAGGCAACACCGGCTCGATTTCTTTTCATCTTTTCTGTTTTCCCTCCCTCTCAGAAGGTTTCTGTTTTTCTTTTCTTCCCTCTTCTTGTCTGGCATTTCGTTGGCCACAACTTGGACTTTCTGAATTATTGATTTACTGCTTCTGTAAATGGAGCATTACTTCTTTCCATGATATCTCATTGGTTTATAATGGAAAGTCAGTTACCTGCTGTCCTTTTACTCCTTCAATTCTTTCCTTTTTAAAATTTGATTTGTATTGTGATCACCAGGTAATAGATGATGATATTGTTCGAGAGTTGGAGCAAATGGAAAAAGAATCCGATATAGATGATATCTTAACCTATAGGTCTGCTGCTGAACGTGAGTTGCAGGTACATTAGTATATCCTTGTCAACCAACCATGCCATTTGCTTATTGTGGATAGTGATTGTGGTTATTGTCTTAATTTGGCATGACATTCTTCTTGTACATTAAGGACAGTGAATTAGACGGATTCAATTTTATATAACATTTTTCCATTAGCTAAAACTAGGATTCTTACTCTTCAATGTCCGTATAATGGATGCATTTGCAGGAATTACTGGTGAAATCTTCCTCCTGCTCTGGAACTAATGATACCAATATTGGTATAGGGAAGTCACTAGATAATGAGCAACTGTCTAGCAAGCCCCGTGGATGGTTAAACTGGTTGTCACGTGGAATGCTTGGTGCTGGGGGAACAGATGATTCTAGCCATTTTTCTGGTGCTGTATCAGATGAAGTAATCAAGGTATATGTGTTCCATTCTTTTACTACCAAACACTGTTCTTGTTGGAAATTTTATTAATATTTTCTAGTACAGGACATTTATGAGGCAACCAAATTTCACCCTGCGCCTTCACCTAACGTGGATGCTGCTGGGAATGATGAAATTTACTTGTCTTCAATCAAGTTCAACATTCATCGATTTTTTGCAACACTGCGGAGCATGTATGAGTGTCTCTGTCTGGTATTTTTAATATATTTGGCTCAAGTAATTTTTACTTCCTTGCACATATAATGATTCAACAATATATAGAAGCAGTTATGGCATTGATTGAATTTTCTAGAATATATCAGAATTCAGATTTTGCAATCATAGTTACACTACTGGACTTTCCAAAATTTAGAGGAGAATTCAATGTTATTCAAGTTTTAGAACCATTGCTCATTCAGTTTTTGTTGAAATGTTTTTCTGTATCACCTTTTCTTTAGTTTCTTTCCTGCAATACCGTGGTTTCAAACTTACTTCTCACCTTGTCTTACTTTTGAAATCATGTTTTCAACCCACGCTTATAATGGTAAAAGCGTGTGTGAAAACATGCCTTTTTTTTGCAAAATCAGGTCCCTTAAAAAACGTGTTTCAAAATCCCGCCTTTAATCAAAGGCGTGTTTAGAAAACACCCCTTCAAACATTTGTGTTAGATATATTGCTTTCGGTGACAGCTGTTGAAACCCAAAACTCAGAGGTCTCTTCTACAGTTCATCCCACTTAAATAACATGGATAATTTTGCTGTTAGGCTGCATGTGGGATCTTCCAACAGGCGAGTGTGGACAATGTGTGAGCATACCTAACCTCCCTTTCACTATCCAACCATAGACCTTTTAACATACTTCTAATTATGGCGTCAGAGAATTTTCATGTGTACGTATTAACATATGGGGTGAGGGTGAGAGAGAGGGAAAGTGAGAGAGAGGAGAGACGAATGTGAAATGTAGGGATCTTATGGGGTGATGATTGGCATAATTTCTCAGTATTTTTGAGACGCAAAGTAAAGTCCCATGAATATCTATAGATTCCATTTGTATTTTTCGAGGTTTATGTGTTATGTAAAACCCTGTGTGCTGGAGTCTTGCAATGCAAAAGTTTAAGATTGGGACTCTGTTGGATCTGATTCAAAGTGTAAAAAGAGTTTGTATTCCACACCGTATGATTAGGACCACACAATGTTGATTTATATGCTTAAGGGGCATCTCCACTCATTACCAATCAGTTTTGAGTTGGATGTTCTAACATGATATTAAAACAACTATCTTACAATTGAGTTAGTATGGATTGGTTGTTTTTGGATAAAGTGAGGTAAAATAGTACTATAATATTAGGGTTAGAAGAGACGGGGAGAAGGAGAAGAAGAAGAAATAATGAGAGAAGGAAGGAGAGAATAATCAAAATGTATGGCTAGGTTGTCCTACACTCTATTTATAACTGAGTAATATTAAGGTAATTACAAGATTACCCAACACATTATCTTATGTTTATTGTAGAAACTAAGAACTCTAATAAAGTGAATCCAAGTGAGCAACATGATCGGAAATAAATCCAAGTAGAAAAGCCTATGCACGAACAATACCCATTACTGTTCATAAAAAATACTTGCCACTTTGTCGATTCTCACATGGTTGTTTTCATCAGTTTTTCTTGTATTTATGTTATAACACGAGATACGCCATTGTATTCTTGAAGCTCCTCCAAAAGTAAATCTCTTCTAGAATCCTAGAAGCACCCGTAAATCATCTGAATAAGAGAAACATTCTTATCCTATCGAACTTCCATAATCTTCATGTTTGGATTTGCCCTTCAAATGTATTGGAGTTATAGTCTAGTTTATTATATTTTTTTTTTCCCTTTTTGCCCTTCTATGACTTTTATGTCTTGCCTAGATTAGAGGCCAGACCATTTTGTACTCTTGTTTGGCTATATATATACGGGGCTCTATACTCAGTTTGTGTATCCCTTTCGGTCACTGATAGCTCAAGTTGGTATTAGAGCAAAATCTTACCTCGAACCCTGGCCGCCAACCCTAATCCTAATCCTAGCTTCCATTATAATCCTCCTTCAGCAACCCATCGACACACTTTCCCCGCATACGCCCCCTCACCACGAAAGCCTGGTGGTGCATCCATATAAATAGTCTCATTCAGATCACCGTGCAGCCATATTTTCTCTTTCTCTTCTTCTATGTATGTTTTTTTTTCTTTGCACGTTTGATCTAAGTTTTCATGGTATTAGATGTAGGCCTTGAGTGGTTAGGGGGCCAAGTCTCTCACCCATTCAATTTCCCGGTTAGCATGTCTGTTTGTTAGCACCACGTGTGTGCTCGAATTCGTGAGGGAGGGCATAAGGAGAGTTCGTATCCACATTGAAAGGTTAGGACCAACCAAGATTGCTTTAAATGGTTAAGGGGCCTCTCCACTCATTGCTGATTAGTTTTAGCAAAGGAACCATTTTCGGTGGCAACAGCTGTGCAAAAGTTTGAGACGTATTTTCTAGACACCTCCTTCATTAAAGGCGTGTTTTTGAAGCACATTTTTAAAAGAACTTGATTTTCCCTGAAGGTGTCTTTTTAATACACGCTTTTATCATTATAAGAATGGTTGAAAACATGCTTTCAAAACTACAGTAATGTGAGAAATACATTTTAACGTACTGTATTGGGGGAAATAAATGTTGAAAAAAGCGGTAATGTGGAAAAAAATAGGCTTTGTTGGCTCCAAATACTAGAGATTGTTGGTTTGCATAATAATTTTCAGAGGAGTAAGAGGATCTTTATTTAAGGTCTACTCGCTAAGTTGGTTTGTAGGTTTCCTGTGATATTAGGCAGCACAGTGGAGGAAGGCAGTGGAAATGAGCAGTGAGAGAAGTTTTGGCATGATGTGGTGTAGTTACAGAGCATTTTAGGATGCAGTTTCAGTTTTCTTTTCAATAGAGAAGGAGAATTTGTCATGGCCTCATGGACATCTTCATACTCTTGAGCCTCAACACAATTGTTGATGTAGACATTTACTTCCCTTTTTATGTCATCTTATTTTTACCTTATTTACGGACGGTATAGTTCCTTTCTTCATCTTTTGGCCTAGTTCTTCTCTACATCCCAATGCACTATCTATACCTGAACAAAAGATATAGCTTTATTCTCTATTGACATCATTTTTATGCCAGTTCTTTTCTTTCGTTGAAAAAGTAAATAGGTATCTAGCACATCTGTTTAAACACCGACATAACTGGATTATGACTAACCGATTTCCTTGTTTCACTATTTATCGTGCACTATGAGTTGGAATTGTTTCTTTTTTTGTCTTTATTCTAGGAAGTTTGGTCAATCAATTGCTGAGTTGATTTTTGAGGGAATTTTTGTTGAGTGTAAGATATGGGAGGAATCTGCAGTCATTATGGGCTCAGTCAACTCTGCTGAGATGCTTAATCCACTGAACCAGCAAGTCATTTTACGTGTGAGAGAGGTTTGTATCCATTATTAAGACTTTTTTATCATACTATTTGGATAGCTAAATTTGTTTTAACTCATTCCCTATCGATGCTCAAAAGAGTTCTTAGTTTATGACAATTTGCCACATTATGTGGAATAGATAACTAGCCGGTTACTGAATTTGATTTGTTACTGCACTTTGTGCTATCATGTTGTCAATGTTTCTCTTTTTTCTTAAGGAAACAGTTAACAAAGTTGTATGTCCTATTTCATGAATGAGTAATAACCTATTCTGATTTCAATTTCAATCGCCTTTTCCATTCCATTCAACAAAACATCATTTTTTAGAGTCGATGAAACCGGTTATGATATATGACAAATGCCAATATACCCTCCCTTACATGGCTGTATGCAGACTTCTATGCAGTCAAAGGCTCATAGCTCTAATAGATCTATGAGACTATGACCCACGGGATTATATATAGTCCATTTTGAGTAAACAGAAATTAAAAAAAAAAATACAATTCACTATGAAAACATAAGAAAACATGTATAACTTCAAACCAAATGCAAAAATTGACTTGAAAATCTGTAAAATAAGAATTGACTGGTAATTTTCAGTTAGCATCACCTTGAAATTGAACCGGTTGTCAAAGTTTTTCCTTTCTTTAAATTGCCTTTCTTTGGGTTCTTATGGCCTGCATGGCTGCATTGCCAATTTTATAGCAGGGATTGAAGAAATAGCATTATAACATTAACATCACATTTCTGTTTGACTCTAAAGGGAAGGGAAATTAAGTTATTGATTTTTTGTTTCCCACTTTTTGTGTTTGGTTGTCGGGAAAGTGTGGATCCCACCATTATTTCTTTCTAAAACATTTGTGTTCAAATATTGTCCTGCATTTGTACGGGATTTCTTGGTTGCAGGAAATGTCAAAAGCTCACTTCCCTGCAAGTTTTTGTTTCGTTAACCAAGTGCATGATGAAAATGTTCACTTTTCATGGCAACTATTTTTTTCTCCGCAGAAAATTACTGACAGCTAAACTGAATCTAAAAGGTTGAAATAACCTAATCAGGGGAGGGATTTGTAGATTTTCTCCCTTGAAGTCAAACTGCACAAAATTCACTTTTCCGGAAACTGTATCGTTTTATTAAACAATTTACTGTACCTCGCCTTTAACAGTCCAGGGCTAGATACTCTTCCATCGATGTTTCTGATACACATTTGACAAGCCTGGGGATTTCCATCCTTCATATTATTAATCTGGAGACCTAAGTAGATGAACCAGTTCAAATGTACTATGCACTCGTCTGTTTGCCCTGTGCAAAACATCAAACATTGTGCTTCTTTGCAGAATTACAGCCTCACATTCTTACCATGTTTCTACTCTGTTCTCTATTAGTGAAATGTGATTTATCATGATGGTTTGCCCCGACAATTGCAGCCAATTATTGAGGAAAAATTGATAGGAAAAAAGCAACCTTCTCTGAATATTCGGGTTGATGTTTCTCGGGTAGATAGTGAGGTTGGCTTATCAGTAAAGGTATTTTAGTTTCCTGCTTTACTGCTTCAGCATTTTATAATATCAGAATGCTCAAAATTATTTAGCTATCTTTTGGTTATTACATCTATTTTTTTTTATTTTTTATTCTGGTGATTGAAAATATCAATCAACTAGTGCAAAGAAAAGAAGTCACATGTAGAGAGGATAGAAGAAGAGAAAAACCATGAGCAGCACTCTAATATTCCATGATAATAAAACTTGATTACAAGAGACAATATTTAAGGAACCCTATAGTAAGGAAAAGATTGATAAATAAATATAATTAGAGTCTTAATATCCCCTTTCAAACTTATGATGTGACGGTAGGAAGTATCAAGAGTTTGCCATCAAGAAAACGAAAATGTGGCATGGTATGAGGCTTCATGAAGAAGTTAGCTAACTGCATAGTGGAAGAAACAAAAGGTAAGGAAATAGTCCCAAGCTAAAGATGGTGATGGATAAAGTGAGATCTTAATATGCTTGATTCGCTCATGGAAAATAGAGTTGTGTGTAATTCTGAATGACACTTTTGTTGTCAAAATATAAAGGACTAAGACCAAGGATCGAAATTTCATTTCGAAGCACCGTTTCGGTCAGCTCAAAAACGAAAACGTTTCAAAAACGCAATGAAAAAATATGGAAACGCATGGAAACACAAATACAATCCATTAATTTATAAAGATAAGTTAAATAATTGATTAATTCAACATATTTATTAGGTTAACATCTATTTATATAAGAATAAATTTAAATTGGAGGAAAAAAAAAAGTCTTGACATGAGGCGAAAATCATTTAAATTAATTTCAAACACATAATTTTTATCAAATAAACACATTTTGACATTATCAAACACGTTATATTCATTTTACAAATTAAATATGACATATAAAACACTTTTAAATTAAAATATTATCCAATTAATAATACTATTTTATTATAATACTAATAATGAAGAGTATCAAATTTAATTAATGGTACTTATGTATACTTATGTAATTGCAGTGGGTATTAAATATAATTGTAGTGGGGGTATTAAATGTAATTGTAGTGGATATTAAATGTAATTATAGTGAATATTAAATATAATTATAGGAGTATTAAATATAATTACAGTGGGGTATTAAATATAATTATTTATACTTATAACCAAAAAAAAAAAATTAAAAGGCAGAAGACCTGCACAGCAGTGGGTATTAATTGTAATTACAGTGGGGTTTAAATGTAATTACAGTGGGGTATTAAATATAATTACAGTAGGGTATTAAATGTAATTGTTATACTTATAATAAAAAAATATATATATATATAAAGGCAGAAGACCTGCACAGTTCAACATCGAGCGAACGAACAGATAGAGAGAAATACAGAGGCGAGAGGCGAGAGGCGAGAGGCGTAGGTGATCGCGATGGGTGATGCCGGTGCCAGATAAAGAGAGAGAGAAGAAAAAGAAGAGAAAAACATACCAATGGACCAGTGATGGCTTGTGGTCATAGCGATGAAGACAGAACAACTCTCAAGCCCTAGATTTGCGTGGATATGGGTTGGATCTGCTCAAATCTAGAGTCAAGAGGTAAGTTACAGTGTCTTCTCCTTCAATTTCTGGTCTATAGCTCTCTCTGCCTCTTTGATTTTGTTGGTGCCTTTCTCTTTCTTTTCTCTCTGTTTCTCTTTGATTTCGTTGGTGCCTTTTTCTTTCTTTTCTCTCTGTTTTTTTTTCCTTGAAAGACCTAGACTTGGACAGAAATCATACATGTGATTTCTGAGATCTCTGATTTTTTCCTTTTATTTTTTTGGCTTGGAGCTATGAATTTTGACTTTGTGAAATCTGTTTTATGAGCCTCTCTTTTTTCTTTTGGCCTAGAGTGGACGAATCTATTCACTGTTTCGTCGAAATGGTACTGTTTCGACTGAAACGGTCCAAAATTGTGCCGTTTCGACCGAAATACTAGAATTTGAGGATTCAACCACTGTTTTGTGTTAGAGTGTTGAAATTCTGAAACGTTTCGGACGTTTCGACACGACATTTAGATCCTTGACTAAGACCCGAAAAGGAAACGCTTAGATCGACAAGCAACCATCTCAATCAAACTATCTTCTACGAACGAGTGATAACGGGCTGTTTCTTGTTTCTCCAGGAAATAAATGAATCACCAAAAAAGACACAGAAATCAGTGGTAGATTTACGATTGATAGCATCACCTACTCAATCAGCATCAAAAAAAGCACGAAACTCCGTAGTAGAAGTAGAAGAAAATAACAAACTTTGATGTAAAGTGCCTCTAAGATAACATAAAATGCGAAGAATTGCAGTTTAGTGCACTGTTGTTGGAGAAGATATAAATTGACTCACAACATGAACGACATATGCTATATTAGGTCATGTAACTGTAAGATAAATTAGTCTGTCGACAAGAACTTGATACAAGGTTGGATCAGCCAAAGGAACTCCATAAGTAGAACTGTAGTGCATATTAACGTGGAGAGGAGTCTCAACATTTCAAAAATTTATTAAACGAGCCCCGTGGGTAACATCAACTACATATTTTGACTGAGAAAGATAACGCTTCAGAGATGAAGCCATTTCAATGCCCAAAAAATATTGATAGGGACTAAGATCCTTTGTCTCAAATTGTTGTTGTAATTGAGTCTCATGACTGAAATGCCCTCGAAAACATCCACGATAATAATCATATCATCAACATGTAAGAGGAGAACAATCTGACCAGTAAAGTAGAATGAAAGAAAAGAGCAGAATCATAATCCCCTTAACGAAACCCAAGTCAAAAATCACAATAGAGAACTTCTCAAACCAAGTCTGAGGAGTCTGTTTAAGACTATACAAAGTTTTTTTTTTGTTTTCATACCTCACCTAGAATGTGAGAGAGACCAGGAGGAGGAATCACATAAACATCTTCTACCAATTCTCCGTTTAAAAAAACATTCTCCACAACTATCTGAGAGAGTTTCTACTGGCGAATAGCTACTACAACAATTAAAGTACGAACAACAGTTATCTTTGCAACAAAAGCAAATCTCTGGTCGTAATCAATGTCATATTTTTGTGCAAAACCTTTAGCAGTTAATCTGGTCCGCTTTGGTTTTAATCTTATATACCCACTGACAACTAGCAACATGCTTGCTTACAGGTGAAGATACAAGATCTCATGTCCCAGTTTTATGTAGTGTAGAAAGTTCTTCATTCATAACTTGCTGCCAAAGAGGATTAAGAACAGCTTGCTTATAGGAGGTAGGTTCAAACAAAGAATAAATGGAAGATAAAAATGAACAAAAATCAGAAGAATAACAAATGTTAGAAAAACCAAAGCGAACATGACACTTATGAATGCGCTTAAGATAGCGAGAAGAGGAATGATCCAAATCATTAGAAGTTGATGGAGATGCAACTGAAAGAGGTAAAGGAGTTGTACTTGCACATGAGTAAGTTTTGTTCCTGTGAGAGCAAGTGTAAATAATAGGATGGGGCACCAATGAAGAATGAGACGAAGGATGCATATCAGAAGTGAGCATACCATGATTATTAGAATCACTAGATGTATCGTTAGAGAAGTGGTCGATATATACATGGTCAAATCTATTGAAGGAGTCAGAAACAAAAGGAACGGAAAAGAAATGAATATGCTCAAGAAAGACCATATATCTAGACACATACAATCTATTGACATAGTTTTCAAATCGAGTATCAGAAGGCGTATCGTTTTTTAAAAATAGTGTATCTTGTCTTATCGTATCGTGTATCGTACATCGTAAGATACGCGCAATTTTAAATAATTATTAATAAAACAGATGTATACCTTTGTAAAAAGGTCATAGACTCATAATAATATAACATTTCATTAATATTCTACCAACTATTCAAGATTCCAATATAGTTCAGTAATATCAACATGTACAGACCTCTAATTCAAACTTCTAACATCAATTGCTTGAACAACCTTAATATTAATAGGAATTTTGAATTCAATTGAACAACATTAGCAACAGACTTTATTTTATTTTTTTAATCTTTAAACCATAACCATTGAAACTTTTCATTGGTTAGTGATTCAAAATAAGTCATAGGGTGAAACGATGTCATTTTAGCCTAAAAAATAGAATCTTCACGTATCGTATCGTACGTATTGTATCGTGCATCGTACGATATGGTTAAAAAACGATACAAAGACACAATACGTATTATTTTTTTAGTGTATCGCGACGTATCGTATGATATGTATTGCGTACCATATGATACTAATAATTATGCCTTTTGACAATAGGATAATAACAATGATATCTTTTTTGTTCCTCACCATAACCAAGAAAGACACACATAATATAACGAGTAGATTATTTAATGTGTTCAGTTTTTGGAAGATGTGTAAAACAAATACAACCAAAGAACACAAAGAAAAATAGTTGGGCGGTTTCCCACATCACTGCTCAAAAGATGAAACACTTGAAATAATAATAGGGGGAATCCAATTAATGAGATGAACAACAGTGAGAACAACCTCTGCCCAAAAGGACATGAGAACTAACGCAGATAAGAGTAATGAACGAGTAGTCTCCATAATGTGCTTGTGTTTTCACTCAGTCACACCATTCTGCTCAGGAGTGTCTGCACAATAGGACTGCTGTATAGTACTATTAGATTTCAATAAATCAAGAAAAGGATTGTGTTTTTATTCTCCACTCAAATCACAAGGAAAGCATTTAATGACTGAAAAGTATTGTGTGAATTATGGCATGAAAAGAAGAAAAATAGAGAAAAATTCATATCACTGTTTTATGAGATAAATCCAACAATATCAAGTATAATCATCAATAAAAGAAACATAATACCGAGACCCTCTTTTGTGACAATAGGGGCAAGACCCCAAACATCAAAATGCACAAGATTAAAAAGAGCAAATGAAGTAGAACTATTTTTAAAAGGTGAAGTTGTAAATTTAGCAACTTTGCAACTACTACAATTAGAAATATCATGACTATTTAAATCACCTAATGC